AACCCCAAACTTTAAACCCTGAACCCTAAGACCCTAAACCCCAAACCCTAAACCCCAAACCCTAAACCCCAAACCCCAAACCCTAAACCCTAAACCCCAAACCCTAAGACCCTAAACCCCTCAGAGGGGGGTGTCGGGCTCAGGAGTTTCGTCTGAAGGCCTCTCCATCCACGCAGACGACCACGTCGTAGAAGCTCAAGTCAGAAGTCTTCAATATCTCCTGGTTCTAGTTCATGGTTGGGGTAGTGTTAAAAATTTAAACGTATATTCCTTATTGGGTTTAAGTACCCTTAAAAATGTAAAATGTTACCCAATTATGACAAAGAGAAGTCTTCAATATCTCCTGCTTGGAGGGTCAAGGGACTTAGTGCAAGGGGTGATAGAAGGGATTCTAGGGTTTAGGGAGTAGGATGTAGTTTTCAGGGTTTTGGGTTCAGGCTGATCAAGGAACGTAGGGTTTTAAGGTTTAACCAGCGAGGAAACCTATAGCCTTACTTGTTAAAGCCCTGATGCTCCAAGGATGTTCGGGGACATGGATTTGGGATTTGAGAGGTTTCCGAGAATTCTACCCTAAACCCTAAACCCCTAAACCCTAAACCCCTAAACCCTAAACCCTTCCGTGTATGGAAACTGGAAAGTACTCGGATCTGAGCGGCAGTACCGTTACGGAGCGGCACAAAAATCTTCTCCAACATGACTGCACGAGCAAGTTAAGACAGAAAGCTCCGGTGCGGCCAAGACCCTGCAGTGCATAAGATTGCGGGGCTAGGCCTACCTCAGACGAAATCCTAAAAATGCCCTGGCCTGCTCTGCCCTACCCTGCATTCCATAGATTCAAGGCCATTCTCGCTTGGGCTTCCGGGGACCTGAGTCCATCACGGTGCCCTCTATGGACCCTCTTGGTTTATATAGGGGCCAGAATAATGAGGAATAAAGACTGACCCCTCATAATCCCTTCTTTTATGATGATAAAAGACCACCTATAATCCCTTCTCCTTCTCTTATGTCATCATCTACCCCCGAAACTTGTTCTAATGAACGAAGCTCCCATCTTGGCCTTTCCCGCTCTCCTCCACGTCCCGGGATGTCCAGCGAGGTGCCAGCTTCAGATTTTCTGCGGCGGTGTCCGACAAATATCCGGCACTTCCTTGTTCCGGCGTGTGGGGTTGAAGATCTGGGCTTAGGGTTTAGGGTTTTTGGGGTGCAAGGATTCGGTTCAAACTCTAAGACAGCGTGGGGAACAGTCTGTAGAACTGTTACAGCAATCTTGTCGAAGAACGGCTTGAGGGCTTCCCGGCACCGGGGTTTCAAACCGGCACGAACAAACGACCAGCCCCGACAAACCTTTCCTACTGTTTTTTCTGCTCGCGTTTGTGCTTTGATAGAGGGTTGAAGATTCATCAGGGTTTACAGGTTTTAGGGGTTGAGGTGTAGGGCTTAGAATTACATGTTTCTTGTGTGCTACGTTAACTCGCTTCGGGATTGAAACCCCGGCTTCAACCCCGAAAAACCCTAAACCCCAAACCTATCCTGTTAAGGTTTCATCTCAGAAAACCATCATAAGATATCACCAGGAACCCGAAGAAGGCGTGCTTTGGGTGGCTTAAGGTATGCTCTCACCAAAGGGTCCGGTGTGATGGGGCTGCTGGAGCCTAAGAGTTCGCATCATGCAACTTCCAAAGCAGCCAGCAGAAGGTGGCAGGTTTCAGAAAACGAGGGAGTCCGGTTT